GCGGGTAATAGCACTTAATACTCTTGCAGAGGATCCTGGTTCAATTCCCAGCACCCACATGGCAGTTCCTAACTGTCCTTAACTCCAATTCCAAGGGAATCTGAAGCCCTCTTCTGACCTCCGAGGCATTGCACGACATGGGTGAACTCACATACATGCAGGTAATACACTCATACACATAAAATGAAAATAATAAATTTTTTTAAAAAGTACTAAACCCAAGGTGCCAAAATCAGTTTTGGATTTTTTTATTAATCTATAAATATTATTGCCAGATATGGTAGCGTATGCCTTTAATCCCAGCACTTGGGAGACAGAGGCCAGGAGGTCTCAGTTTGAGGCCAGCATGGTCTATATAGGGAGTTTCAGGCCAGTCAGGGTTACATAGTGAGATCCTGTGTGAAACAAACAGACAAACAAAAATAATAACAATCTATAAATAATTGGTACTTAATAATATTACAATAATACGACTATTATGTGCTTGTATAACACTTTATACTAAGATCTGTTTATAAAAATCATATTTACTTCTTAAAAAACTGAGAGGAAGGAGGATGGGTTTATTAAATTGGGCCCTGGGGCACATAGAATCATTCACCTGCTAAGCTCAGAGCTAAATCAAATCCATATTTTTTCTTCTGCTGCTGCCTATGAACCAGAAAGGTCCACTCATCATCAGCAAGTTTCTCCTCCTTCTTTAATTTATGCCTATGAGGAAATACTGAGGGAGGAGATCTATTTTACTTTCCAATATCTAGAAAAGAAAATGCCAAAATGACGTGCTGCTCTTTGTCATATTAACTTCCTGAATCAACACTGTCCAACAGAAATAAGATGTGAACCACACATGTGATTTTAAGTTTTCTGGCAATTACATTAGAAAGAGAGAAACAAGTGGAATCTTAATCAGATATTTAAGTAAATATATCCAAAACATTGTCATTCTGATATATAAGTAATATAGAAACTGAGATATTTGCCATTCCATCTTATATGCTAAGCCTTTGAAATCTGGTGTGCGATGCAGTACTTCTCATCAGAACTGGCCACACTTCAAATGCTCAATAGCTAGTGACTTCCATATTGAGCAAAGACGTGCTAAACATTCATTAAATCCCTCATGTTAGGGAGGATGGCTCAATGGGTAAAATGCTTGCAAGCACAAGCATGCAAGTTCAATCCTCAGAACCCAGGAAAAAATGCTGGCCATCACCTATACTGTAATCCTGTAATGCCTGTAATCCTACTGCTAGGGAAATGCAGACAGGAAGATCCTCGCCAGCCAGCCAGTCTAGCCTAGCTGGTAAGCTCTAGGCCAATGAGAAATTATGTGTCAAAGAAGATAGGTGGTATTCATGAGGATGATTCCTTCATGAGGTTTTCCTCCAGCCTCTCCATGCACATGCACCCACACACACATACATACACATTAAAAAAAAAACAAAACCTAAACCTCTAGTTATTTCCTACCAAGATTCCTTATATATGGAAGCAGGTCCTTATATATGGTTTAAAGAAGTGAATCATGCAAGTCCTATTCCTGATCCTGCCAGAGCCATACTAACTAGCTTTGGGCAAGGTTTTGTCCTCCAAGTCCTCTTTCATAGTCCTGCTATCTGCTAAGTAAGAAAAGTTGCCCATTCTCTATTTAATGAGGAAACAGGGAGTTTGAAGAATATGGGGAGCTCCTGAGACTTAGATGAGCACACTGGCTTCTACAGGACAGCCATGATCTAGTTGTTCATCCCATTTGAATATGATAGGACTGCTGGCTGGCAAAACGGCTCAGCAAAAAAATAGAAGGAGAGAACCGATTCCCCCCAAGTTGTCCACTGACCTCCACGTTGCACTATGACCACACATGCACAATATGCACGGGCACATTCACAGAGGAGACAGACACAATGCAAGTTAAAAAAGAAGACAGTAAGGCTGAAGCACAGCTCAGTCGCGAAGCACTTGCCCAGCATGCACAAGGCCAGTCTGGATCACCAGCACCACAAAACATGATGGTGATGGTGGTGATGATGATGATGGTTCAAGCACTGAGGTCAACACGTATATTAACAGAAGATTTATAAATGTACCTGATGATTTTGTACATGACTGGGTTGGTTGGTGAAGAATGGCTCATCCAACTCATTATGGCCCCACTGCCTGTAGCATAATAAATCAATAATCACATCTTTGCGGAATTGGTGCTGATATTCAAAAGCCAGTCGTGTGGCTCGGACTACTTCCTCTGGCCAGTCTCCATTGACATGGATGATGGCACAGTCTACAAGCTTCCCTAAGGAAGGTAAGACGAAGACAAAAAAGGCCAGTTAACATGAGATAATATTAGCTGTCCCACAAGATCTACAGCTTATGTGGAAAGACAGCCCTGGAACTCAGAGGTAGTTTGGCTTGAGTGGTAAAAACTCAAGCTTTGGAGCTTACCTAACTAGTCTCAGCTGCATGACTTACTGTGTGACCCTGGAAAAGTTATAAATCTCAGACTAGTCTGGACTCTGAATGATACTGTCAAGATTTTATGAGTCAATGCATAGAAAGTGTTAATGTTTCTCAGTACTTTGTACATAACCGTTAACATTATTGTGTTATTGTTATTATTATTATCTTTCTTCCTGAGACAAAAAGGTCACTAAAGCACGCATCCTAGAAAAAGATTTTTTCCAGAGAAATGCATCCTCACTATCTCTAGTTCTTGTAATTGTTCTGTGACATACAAGTAGGCAAAAAAATCCCTGTCTTTGTGCCAGGACTGCTGATTTCCCTAGATTAAAACAAGTTGGCTTTGCTGCTTCTCAACTCATTTCTAACTAGACTTTAGCAAATTTAGTGGGTACACATACTTTTTTGTACTAAGAACTTGGGCATGCTAAATTTGATTATTCTAAACTCTAGTGTTATACCAACTACATTGCTCTTTGATTTCTACCAGACTGTTCAGTTGGCTATTTAAGCTCATGCCTTTAATCCCAGCACTCAGGAGGCAGGCACATCTCTGTGAAATCGAGGCCGCTTGCTGTCCATAGTGAGTCCAGGCCAGCTGAAGCCACAGGGAGACTCTGCCTCAATAAGACCAAAAGAAGATCAAAGTCAGGGAAGTAGTCAGGGTTAATTAGAAAGACTTACTCATCACACCACCTCAGGAAACGGTGATTCAGGAATTTTAAAAAAGGAGCTTCCCAAGATGTAGAAAAATTACAAGTAGTCCAGGCTGCGGCGGACGCCTTGACTCCCCGTCCCCCCAAGCCAACGGCTTCCCCGCGCCGTCCTCCATCCTAGCCGCCTAAGAAGCGCACCCGGCCTCCGGGTGGTCCCCAGGACCCGCCCGACCACGGCCTCGCGAGGCTGGAGGAGCCGTGGCCGAGGCCGTGCGCTTCGCACCGTTTGCGGCAGCCCTAGCCAGACCCGCGCATTCCCGGCCCCGCGGGCCGGACGACCGCGAGAGGCCCCAGTCCGGGCGGGACCAGGCCCCCGCTCCCCGCTGTGACTCACTGCCCATGGCCGCGGGGGACCCGAGGCCTCGGAACTGCCTCCACTCGGCTACCGGTGACTCCGGCCTAGGCGCCGCGGTGGACAGGCTTCCACCAGCCCCGCGCAAACTCCGCCCCGAGTCATGTGTCCCGCGCCCAGCGCCCCGCCCCCAGCCCAGGCCTCTGCGTTGCCATGGTCACCGCCGCCGCCGCAGTGGGGGCGGGGCGGGCCGCCTGGAGGGGGTCAAGAGAGCGTGTCGTGTCTTGGTCGTTCTACCCAAGAGATCCGCAGCCTGGGAAGACCCTGAGGGCCGAAGGTTTTCCTTTCCGAGCCAGAGTCCCAGATCGGCCTCCAGAACCCGCGCTTCCCCTCCCTAGACGCCCTGCTGGTCCGCTGAGCCCCGGGCCTGAGCTGCCAGAACCGGCCTTTCATTTGGTTCCATCATTCTGTAACTTCGCAGACACTTTTTTTTTATTTTTGATCTTTTTGACACAGGGTCTCCCTGCAGCCCCAGCTGTCCTGGAACTCACTATGTAGACCAGGCTGGCCTTGAACTCACAGAGATCCACCTGCCTCTTCCTCCCGAGTGCTGAGATTAAAGGCTTGCGACACGCCGGAAAAATTTGCGACACATTGTGTAATTAATAGCTTACGAAATTATGCTCTCCTGTTTACCTCCATGTTCCTTCTCCGGCTCTAAAACACAGACATCAGGGTTTTATGCCTCCTGCTTCTGGGTTTCCTGAAGCCACAGTATTTTGACTCTTGATGGCTCCTCCTGCCATGTATATATGTTCTCCCTTGTCCCTTGGACACCATGGGGTAAGAAAAAACTGTGGTGGTAGACATCAGCTAGCCCTACATTTTAATCCTTCTGAATGACTTTGGACAATGAAAGTTGAGCTATTTCAAACTAAGGCAAATAGCACCCACCTCAAAGGACATTGAAGTTATATTCAGACACTGGTTACAAAAGGTATCCCAATTAATTTCCCTTATTCAGACTTCAAACCACGCCCACACAGGCCTCTGTTCTAAAGTCTCTGTAACCAATTCTAAAGATGCGTTCCCATGTTCAGATCTATGTCCAACAAGGAAATAAAATAACATGTATCTGGAAGAAGGGTGTAATTTAGGGTAGTGTTACAGGGCCTCTACCGTATGATCCACAGGGACAGCTCGCAAGTTTAAAACTGGCATTATCAAAGGCCCTCTGACTCAACATGGCCACTGATGCCCACTGTGAACCCTTGAAACCTCTATTTGGCTTCCCCATGTGACTAAAATCCCTCACAACATGATATTTGGTGCCAAGGGATATCTCTGGAAGTGGCCACCTGCTTCTTTCATTTCAGTGTGTTTGTAAAGGCAACAGGAAGATATGCTCAACTTCATGGAGAAAAAAAGATACCACCTCTAAGGGGGTAATGACAAAGTTCTAGACCTTGAGTAGTAATCTTCAGTTCTTCAAACTCATCCTTAACCTCATTCTAATTTGTTGGGAGATCTCTGTTATGCAAAGTCGAAGCCCCTTCACACTGGACAGCTCATGCAGCTCGGGTTATGTGCTGCGGGCTCCTTTCATAGCGGGGTGTCTTCCTGGCATCTTTCCTGTCTCTCCTTTTGAAGTGTCCACCACAAATGCCATAACATAAACATGGCCTTTGGCTCTAGGCATACCATGCCTTCCTGTGTGATTTTTACAGGCGGCCAGCAGTCTAGCAGTGTGGCAGAAATCCACTTCAACATGTAAATAGAATGTCTCACAAAGCATCTAAAAGCCAAAGCTTTTTACCACTAACCCCCATGGTATAAATATACTAGTCTTCTCTTAATAGTCGGAGATTGGGACCGGGAGATTGGGCACGGGAGATGAGGTCAGAGACTGGGTCCCAGAGATTTGGTCCCAGAGAAAATAAAGCTGTAAGCACAGACTGAGCCGAGCCTTGAGTCTTGTGTACCGGT